TGAGTGACTCCGCTGTCCTGGCGTCGTGAGGGAGCTTGTTCCACCATTGGGGTGCCAGAGCAGCGAACAGTTTTGACTGGGCTGAGCGGGAACTATGCTTCCGCAGAGGAAGGGGAGCCAGCAGGCCAGAGGTGGATGAACGCAATGCCCTCGTTTGGGTGTAGGGACTGATCAGATCCCGAAGGTACAGAGGTGCCGTTCCCCTCACTGCTCCATAGGCAAGCACCATGGTCTTGTAGCGGATGCGAGCTTCAACTGGAAGCCAGTGGAGTGTGCGGAGGAGGGGGGTGACGTGAGAGAACTTGGGAAGTTTGAACACCAGACGGGCTGCAGCATTCTGGATGAGTTGTAGGGGTTTAATGGCACAATGTTGAATCAACATTGAACCAGCATCAAATAGATGTTGAATTAACATCTGTGCCCAGTGGGATGAGGACATAGCCTTGGTAGCCAAAATAATGGCCTGCCCAGCATTTTTAAACATGACCCTAAGCATGAGGGGATGTTAATTGCTTAATTAACTCATGAACCACACCTGTGTGGAAGCACCTGCTTTCAATATACTTTGTATCCCTCATTTACTCATGTATTACCTGTATGCCCTCTAACTCTGTCAGTCTGTCAGATTTGTATGTACAGTATACAGTATGGCAATGGACTATACAGTAGATGGACATATCTCTTGATATTAGTCAAACATGCATTGAGACTGTGGTAAACTCACAAAGATAATGGATAATGTCCTCCAAGCACTGTCAGGTGCTCTCTTGGAGATGATCGATACTCGAGCGTATGATTGCCATTTAACAGATATACACCATTAACTGTGTTACGGCGCCAAATCAAATCGGAGGTTCTTTTTAAAGGCCAGTAAGTAAATTAAAGTGTCTCGCAGAAGCTTGATCTTCTGTGCCCTTTAAATACGAGGGAAATACCACAGGCGGCAGGCATGCAGGAAGCTAGGATGGCTCTGACGCAAGCAAGCAGGGGTAGACACACACACACACTCATGTTCAATCTCCCATTATTACTGCAGACACCAAGGACAGTGACAAATAGACAGCGTAGAGCTTGCAATACGGCTTTATGCACTTTAACTGGAGTATATAGAATTCCTATATAAAAAAACAGGACCGTACATAATAAGGCACAATAGTAGTATCACAGTATATGAACACAGTTTAGCAATAATGGGATAGGCGGTATAGTTAAATCACACTGTACATCAGGGAGTGAGAACAACATAAAAATCACAACGACCATCACTTGAGACAAAAGAAAATCATTTTTCAATGCTTTTGAATGCTTGTGTGTTGGATTGCTACTGGTAGTGGATTGGGACTGGCTAGCGCAGGGAAAAATACATTAATAAAAGCGCACTCCCGAGTTCAACTTTAAGGGAGATAATGGTATGTTTGAGTGAAAAAAGAAACGTCCTCTCACTGTCAACTGCATTTATTTTCAGCAAACTTAACATGTGTAAATGTTTGTATGAACATAACAAGATTCAACAACTGAGACAGAAACTGAACAAGTTCCACAGACATGTGACTAACAGAAATTGAATAACGTGTCCCTGAACAAAGGGGGGGTCAAAATCAAAAGTAACAGTCAGTATCTTGTGTGGCCACCAGCTGCATTAAGTACTGCTGTGCATCTCCTCCTCATGGACTGCACCAGATTTGCCAGTTCTTGCTGTGAGATGTTACCCCACTCTTCCACCAAGGCACCTGCAAGTTCCCGGACATTTCTGGGGGAAATGGCCCTAGCCCTCACCCTCCAATCCAACAGGTTCCAGACGTGCTCAATGGGATTGAGATCCAGGCTCTTCGCTGGCCATGGCAGAACACTGACATTCCTGTATTGCAGGAAATTACGCACAGAACGAGCAGTATGGCTGGTGGCATTGTCATGCAGGAGGGTCATGTCAGGATGAGCCTGCAGGAAGGGTACCACATGAGGGAGGAGGATGTCTTCCCTGTAACGCACAGCGTTGAGATTGCCTGCAATGACAACAAGCTCAGTCCGATGATGCTGTGACACACCGCCCCAGACCATGACGGACCCTCCACCTCCAAATCGATCCCGCTCCAGAGTACAGGCCTCGGTGTAACGCTCATTCCTTCTACGATAAACGCAAATCCGACCATCACCCCTGGTGAGACAAAACCGCGACTCGTCAGTGAAGAGCACTTTTTTGCCAGTCCTGTCTGGTCCAGCAACGGTGGGTTTGTGCCCATAGGCAACATTGTTGCCTGTGATGTCTGGTGAGGACCTGCCTTACAACAGGCCTACAAGCCCTCAGTCCAGCCACTCGCAGCCTATTGCGGACAGTCTGAGCACTGACGGAGGGATTGTGCATTCCTGGTGTAACTCGGGCAGTTGTTGTTGCCATCCTGTAGCTGTCCCGCAGGTGTGATGTTCAGATGTACTGATCCTGTGCAGGTGTTGTTACACGTGGTCTGCCACTGCGAGGATGATCAGCTGTCCGTCCTGTTTCCCTGTAGCGCTGTCTTAGAAGTCTCACAGTACGGACATTGCAATTTATTGCCCTGACCACATCTGCAGTCCTCATGCCTCGCAGCATGCCTAAGGCACGTTCACGCAGATGAGCAGGGACGCTGGGCATCTTTCTTTTGGTGTTTTTCAGAGTCAGTAGAAAAGCCTCTTTAGTGTCCTAAGTTTTCATAACTGTGACCTTAATTGCCTACCGTCTGTAAGCTGTTAGTGTCTTAACGACCGTTCCACAGGTGCATGTTCATTCATTGTTTATGGTTCATTGGACAAGCATGGGAAACAGTGTTTAAACCCTTTACAATGAAGATCTGTGAAGTAATTTGGATTTTTCCTAACTATCTTTGAAAGACAGGGTCCTGAAAAAGGTATTTTTCTTTTTTTGCTGAGGTCACATGTTAATAGAACCTAGCTGTGTGTCCATTAGGGCTGTCGTCTGATGAGCATCCATTCCCAATCTGCATTCCCTTTCCTGCTTCCTACTATGGCCGCTCAGATAGAATTATCTGGCTCATCCCGCCATGTGTGTCTCTCTTTTGCAGCAATGACTTGGGAGTGTTTCCATAGGTTTACAAACTCTTGCCTAAATGACAGACACAGACAACATACAGTGCAGAACATACTGTACATACAAACCCATGCACAATTTTCACAATTTATGTTATAAAATTATAACAATTTCCTAGAAAGCTCAATTGTCAATTTATGTCTAAAAGCGTGTGCCTGAGACGTAGGTTTATACAGCGTTTATCTATAGTATTGCCAGGTAAGTAGTTCAAAAGTACCACTAGATGGCAATGTTAGACATGTGTGTTTCAGCACAGGTACCATTCACAAGAGAGATAGGTGAGTAGCAGTGGAGGCTGGAATGGAGCAAATGGAATGGCATCAAACCATGTGTTTGATGTACACTGTATATAGAAAAGTATGTGGACACCCCTTCAAATTAGTGGATTCGGCAATTTCAGCCACAACCGTTGCTGACAAATATATAAAATCGAGCCATGCAATCTCCATAGAGAAATGTTGCCAGTAGAATGGCCTTACTGAAGAGCTCAGTGAATTTCAACATGGCACTGTCATAGGATGCCACCTTTCCAACAAGTCAGATAGTCAAATTTCTGCCCTGCTAGAGCTGCCCCGGTCAACTGTAAGTGCTGTAATTGTGCAGTGGAAACGTCTAGGAGCAACACCGGCTCAGCCGTGAAGTACTAGGCCACACAAGCTCACAGAAAGTGACCGCCGAGTGCTGAAGCGCATAGCACGTAAAAATTGTCTGTCCTCGGTTGCAACACTCACTACCGAGTTCCAAACTGCCTCTGGAAGCAACGTCAGCACAATAACTATTAGTCGGGAGCTTAATGAAATGGGTTTCCATGGCCGAGCAGCCGCACACAAGCCTATGATCACCATGCGCAATGCCAAGTGTCGACTGGAGTGGTGTAAAGCTTGCCACAATTGGACTCTGGAGCAGTGGAAACGCATTCTCTGGAGTGATGAATCATGCTTCACCATCTGGCAGTCTGACGGACGAATCTGCGTTTGGCGGATGCCAGGAGAATGCTACTTGCCCCAATGCATAGTGCCAACTGTAAAGTGGAGGAAGAATAATGGTCTGGGGCTGTTTTTCATGGTTCGGACTAGGGAAATCTTAACGCTACAGCATACAATGATATTCTAGACGATTCTGTGCTTTCAACTTTGTGGCAACAGTTTGGGGAAGGACCTTTCCTGTTTCAGCATGACAATGCCCCCGTGCACAAAGCGAGTGTGTGTTTGTGAAACAGAGAGAGACGTGACCACTGGGCTCGCTCAGATTAAACGCACCTTTAAAAATCTGCTGCTAATGGTAGTGAATGACTCACCTGTTCATTGCCTGCTCAGTTTGTTCAGTTAATGCCAACATGGCTCTGGGAGCGCTATCTGTCTTCTCATCAAATT